TTTAAAACATTTATCATACATAACGTCAGATGACAGTAATAAAATATTTTGTAAAGAAATTCTGAAAAGGTCAGGATTAAAATTACTTTGTAATAATGATGTTGACAAATATTGCAGTGTTTCATTTTTTTGCAAAACCATCATATACCATATAACATAGACTCCACAATTGATTGAATCTTCAGTCTCTTGGGTGGGATATGCTATTGTTGTTAGTTTCCACTTCCTAGCATTTAGTTTGTCTTCGTGTAGGTATAGACGGTCTCTAGTGGAAAATAGTCTTTTAACCTTTTTTACAATTTCCTCGTGTGATATACGATAATATTTACCAGGATTCAAAATACAAATAGAGTTAGTAGTCAAATCTAATATAATTAATATCCAGTGATTGTTGTTACAATTGTGGGGCAACAGAATAAAACGGACTCCTTTAAGTGATTTTGTAAAAGGTAAAAATTTAGACAGATTCTTTATCTGATCTGAAAGCAAAATTTGGACGGATATTGTGTCGATGTAATAAATGTCTTCGCGGTCCTTAAAAAAAAGTAAATGCCAGAGAATCTATAATATAATATAATAATCTGCAACCCATGGGTTGCAGATTATTGCAACCCATGTTTTCGGTTGATATTAACGTTCTAAAGTCAGAGCTACTTAATGAAATCGTTTGTCCATTATATGAATATTGTCCCAAGATAAAACCAGTTTGGAAAGCTGCGGACATATAAAAATCATGATCAAAGAACAGACCATTTGAAAGGGCTCGTTGATCTGGCTGATCAAGGATACAGTTCAAAGAACAAGACTGTATATCTCCCTCATCAACTTGTTCTGGTTGTGGTTGGTTTGTCTTTAACCCCCTCTCATAACATTTTTCTGGTTGGGTTGGCTGGGTCCCCCTTATGATCTCCTCTTCAACCTTTTCTGGTTGGACGACTAAATTCATTTCCACTTCATCAGCTATTTTGTTTTTTTCATCATTTACGTTAATTTTGTCCGTTAAGTAAACATTATGAAAATACCGTTTTCGTTTTTTTGATTTTGTCCACGTTTCTTGAGCATCCGGGTTATCAATTTCATGTCGTGCATCTGATTTTGTTGAGGTTATTTTTTTCCTCTTCGGCTTTTTACCAATTTCTAAATCTATAGCTTTTATGTTACTTATAATTCGTGAATTAAGCAGGTTTACAAATCGCCCTACTTTCAAATTGGTTTTGTTTTCTAGTATTTCTTGCTTGACAATTTTAAACCATGTTTCCACAAGTGAATTACTGTAACGATCACTTTCAAGTATGTTGGACCACATTGGAGCGAAAGGCATTACATAATTCAATAAATACGTAAAAAATTCCTCGTGTTTGTAAGGGTTGCGTTCCGTTGCTGAGCTTACACTTTCATCTAACTCTTTTAAAACCTTGTCATAAACTCTAAAAAAACAAATAAAAAAAGGAGAGCTAGTATATTCTCCTCTCACAACTTCTTCATCTATGTCGAGGTCCAATTCACATGAAATATCTTGCCTTGTAGATAACAAATGATTGTAGGTTTCATAGTCACTAGACGATAGGTGTGCTATTGCATTTTTGACGTTGTTATTATATGACGATGTTAATAAGAGAAAAGCGACATTTTCAAATCGAATAATTAACTCTTCCAAGGATCTACATTGAACTAATACTGCTATTGCATTAACAATTCCATCCCTTATATTCGGTTTTTTCTTAGTACGAGAAAGTCTGTTGCAAATCATTTTAACGAAATGTCCACAACATAGTTTTAATTTTATTAAACTAAAAAATCGATGGTCGTCCTTATTTGTAACATATTTATAACAAATTTGGAGGTAAGTATATAAAGTGACATCGTTTAACCCTTGACAAATAGCCATCATAAGCGAAAAACTCCAATCTGTTACAACAACGTTAAAGATCGGCCATGTTTTCTTGCATTTCGTACGTATAAAATGTTTAAAATGCAAAATAAAAGCCATTATTGTTGCCGAATCATGATGTGAAGATATTAATTCAGCGATAGGTACCACAATGTCGTTTACTTTCACAACCAACGCATAGTATAGAACCCTGCGACCCCTATCATACACAGTCGGTCTAACGACGGAGCCTGTCGCATCAAAGTACCCTATCATTTTTTTACCTTTCTTAATTAAGGTTTTAATGTTCTCTTTGGAATATAAATACACCAACGTTTTTCCGCTAGGAAATTGAACGTATGTACTGTCATCATCCTGAGTTAGTGACATTAGTAGTATATCTAGTAAAGGATCCGAATGAAAGTCCTGTTCGCCCATTGCCTCCGACCTAGCTTTTTGGTAAACGGAAAGCGAGCGCAAGCCTTGCCAATTACCTTCATAAATTAAATCTCTATCAACCTTTTTTATTTCTTCGCTGCGATAGGTGCTGGGCAAACTAAAAAGTAGTTCTTTCTTTACCTCCGCCCTTTCTCTACCTTTCAGTTGATAAGCATGCTCTTCGTGGTGATTTTCCACGTGAGGACCTTTGTAGCATATTCTTACATCTATCAAATCCTCTAAAATATTGTATATAAATTTAAATTCTCTACAAGATGTATGTTTACAAATTGCATACTCGACTATCTGACAAGCCGTTTGCTGCTTTTTTTTGTTTATACGACTTCCTTTGAAAATTAGAAGACAAGAAATGCCATATAGACTTATTTGCTGTCGCCAATACTGATGTCTAACTTCGGACTTATAGGATATGTCGTGGTTATCTACATAGCGGTTAATTTTAAATGTTTTAAAAAAGTTAAATTTTAACTTATTGATTGGACTCGATATAGTCTGGGGCATTTCTATCTTTTCTTGTGCATGTTGCAATGCTTCATGTACTACTGTGTTTGCATTATCTACCAAGTGGTCATCAACAGCATCAACCTCAAGGGAATCATCGACGTAAGTAGAGGAATTGATGTATTTTTCAATTTCATCAGTATCTCTTTTGGATATACTCTGGGATATTTCTATTTTTTCTCGTGCATGTTGCATTGCTTCATGTACTGCTGTGTTTGCATTATCTATCAAGTGGCTATCAACAGCATCAACCTCAAGGGAATTATCGACGTCAGTAGAGGAATTGATGTATTTTTCAATTTCACCAGCATCTCTTTTGATGTTCATTAGCAACATCTTTCTATTTTTTAAATTATCTTTAATGCCCGGTATACACGAGGCTAGTTTTGTAAGCTAGGATAGCAAGCTAGTGAAAGAGAGAGTAGAATCCATAGTAGAATGTCTATGGAACGCTACCATTCCGTCTTATAAAGACAAATCTATGCGAGATTCAGCACTACAAAAAATGTGTGGCGAATTATTGACAATGGGTATACAAATGAATACCAAAGAAGTAAAAAATAAAATAAAAAATTTAAGAGCAACTTATTGTCAAGAACTGTCAAAAATTGATAAATCAACCAGGTCTGGAGCTGGTTCTCAAGAGGAATATACGTCAAAGTTAAATTGGTTCAAGGAAATGCACAGTTTCATTAAAAATGTACCAATGAAAAGAAAAACAACGGTAAGTGAATTGTTTTCATTCATTATTTATTTATTAAGTATTACTTATTATCTATTTATTATACCTACAGCACAGAATAAAGTAGTATGTAGTACAAGCGTACAGAAGAATCACTCTTGAACAATACTTCAGTTTAGGTATAAAAATTAATGATTATCTTATCATTCTTGATTGCCAAGGCACAGCACCTTTATTGTTAAAGTAGTTTTTAAAGGTTTCTCTTTTCTGGATTGCTGAAATCGAAGAATGGTTACTTCCTTGGTGACATATGCTTTGTAAACCTTCTGTATCTGTTCTCCATGAGCCAAGAGGGGAGTTTCCTGTTTCAATATCTTCATGGTCGACATCACTGCTGGTTAGATAAGTGTTTCGATTTTCTTTTCTCAACCAATTATGCAAAGCACATGCTGCTAATACAATTTTATCCACTGTATCTACATTAGCTGCTATTGGTTTTTGAAATACACGAAATCGGCTTGCCAATATCCCAAAGGCATTTTCCACTACACGTCTGGCTCTGGATAGTCGGTAATTGAAAACTTTCTGTGGCAATGTTAAGTTGTCGCCTGGATAAGGTTTTAAAAGGTATGATTTTAAAGGAAATGCGGCATCAGCAACAATCACTCCACCATTTGGTAAAAGATTATTCTCCAGTTTATTATATATGGAACAATTTTTAAATACACCTCCATCTGATGATATTCCACAGGCTCCGACATCTATATATCGAAAACAATAGTCGTAATCAACTATTGCCATAAGAACTATACTGAATACTTTTTTATAATTGAAATATATAGTTCCACTATTACCAGGAGCTAAAATTTGAATATGCTTTCCATCAATGGCACCGTAGCAAAATGGGAAATTCCATCTGTTTCTAAATCCATTTTCTATTTCCGCCCATTCTTCGAAATTAGTAGGGATCTGTAAAAATATACAGTTTATAATTAGTAAAATGATTGTTTTTTTTTCAGGACAGTGAAGAGTCAGCAGTGGATGAAGAACGAACCAATACTGAAAATCTGAATATCGATAATGTTAACAATGATGACAATGATGCAATGTCAGAAAATTTTTCACAATCTACGTCTACATCAAATAATATAACGCAACGCAACAAGTCCGCGGAAATAACTACGAAAACAACAGTACCAGCTGCTGCGAAACCATCTACATCTAAATCACAGCTCAAAGTGCCAGAGACACCAGCCCCAAAAAAGAAAAAAATTGCGCAAGTGGCAACATTGGTCAACGAAATTAGGTCGCTCACGAATGATTTAAATAGAGACCATACAATAATACCACAACAAAATGAACACGATATTTTTGGAGCATTTGTAGCTAGCCAACTTAAAATGTTATCATCTATTCAGGCTATTACTGCTCGGGATGAAATCAATGCTACATTATCTCGTTGTCGAAAGACGGATTTAAATTATAGTAATACAACATTTTCATACCAGACACCGAGTCACGAGTCTTCAGACACGACATTCAGTATTGACTATGAAGATTCAACGAACGTTTTCGATGTGATTACCACAGCATTCAAAAATGCATAATGTTGTGGAGGTGGAAAAACATCACATTCTTTGTTATTATTCCCAAATGTATTTTTAATAAATAAAAAATAATACAAACCTTAATGTTTTCTTCCAATACCTTGTAGATTTCGACACATACTTCTGGTATAAATTTGCCTATAGCACATCTTGAAACCCGATAAAAGTGACTAAGCCTCCTGTAACTAATACCGGACGAAAGAAAATCTAAAGTGATCTCCAATTTTATTCTTGCAGGTAACGCCTGTCTCATTATTGTATCCATTCCTTGTATTTTTGGCGTCACAAGACTCAACAGAATATCAAACATATCGGGCGTCATTCGCAAAATACTCTTGTACTCGCCTATATCGTTATTGCAAAGTTCTTTTAAAAGTAAAGCAGATGATCCACGTTCATTCCTTCTTAAAAGCCATGGTCTTGTCCATACACGTTTTTCTAATACATCTTCTAGTAATTCGTCTAATGCAAATTGACATAGTTTCCGAAGTAACTGTTTCAGTCGTATTGTGTTTTTCTTACGAATGCAGTTCATTTTACTTCACGGACGTTTTGTACCGTCAATACCGTCAACCGTCTGCAATGGTACTGGCTTGGCTGGGTTAAAATTACTGGCATCATGTAAACAGCACTAGCATCTTCCAAGCGAGGACAGCAAGCCAGGACAGTTATCTAGCTTACCTAGCTTGCTATCCTAGCTTACAAAACTAGCCTCGTGTATCCCGGGCATCATATCAATATCTACACAGAGATCTGATAGATGTGATATTTCTGATCGAACAGAGCATTCTCTTAAAACAGTCGTATCAATATTATTTTTACTAAGAAAATTTGCAACTTTCTGTAACCTTAACTGCTTACTTTGTTTAACTGGCCTTCCTGGACCGTCCATATTAATATTATAAAGGTAACGAATTGTCAAAGAAACTTATTTATTGCCTTCTCCTAGCAGGAAGTATTTAAAATAAGGAATGAAAACAAAGATAAACTACTATAATTGTCACTTAAAATGATATAAAAAAAATAAAAATTTATTTTATTTTTCCTACTGAAGTCACAACGAAAATCTATGCAGCAATATTACAATGAAATAAAACAGTCACAAAACTCCCAAAGAAAACAGGAAAGTAAAATGAAAAAGAAAATAAATCGAACACTTAAACTAACAATAAAAAGGGAAGAATAAAATGAAAACAAAACAAACCGAACACTTAAACTAGCAACAAGGTCAGAAAAACAAAGAGCAAAACAAACAAAAATAACAAATTACAGAATTACTATAACGAAACAACCACCAAATTATACCTTCCGAGGAAAAAAATAAAAATAAACCTTATTCAAATGATTATAATGATTATAATAATACAAACTAAAGACGAAATGATTATAAATATATAAACACTTAAACAACCCAAACTTCTGAATGCAAGACATATTGCAAGACATATTAAAAAGCAAAGAAAAAACAGCTCAAGAAATATCAAGGAAATCGAACTAGCCCAAAAATAAAACGTTGATCTAGCGAAACAACTTCTACCAGTGATTGCAGTCGACTAAACGTGAATAAACTAAAAAGCAACGAAAAGACATTTTGGCAGTTAATGTATAAATCTGAATAAGAATGAGTAACTTTCAGATACAAAATTCCTATCACCTCACATAACCGGAAGTAGTACTTTACCTGAACCTTGCGACGACCTATCCTGGTTCGGTCCTAGGAAAAGGGGTCTTGGTGCCCTGTTATGTGTTCGGGATGTTAACGGTCTCGGGCGCCACCTTATGTTTAGAGAGTTAAGGAACTCTTTCGCCTCCAGGTAACTTTTGGGGGTTACAGTCGGAGATCCAGGGATTCGGTATGGGAAAGAAGAAAACAAGAAAAATTCGGAAAACAAATAACTATCAACTTTATTAATAATAAACAAATAAACAAATAGGAGGGCAGTTTATTGCTTTGTGACCACGGTCGGAGAATGGGGACGGTGGGAATAAATTGACAAGACTTTGACTTTATAATAAATGAGTTTAAATTAAACAAATAANTTTTTTACGTATTTCGGGGGTGATTTCGACCCCTTATCCCCTGAATTTCGGCGAATCTCGCGGATATGTTATTCGAAACCTTATTTTCGATCTTTGGACTGAGTTTGGTGGTGTCACAAAATTTGTCAAGAAAGTTATGAATTTTTTACGTATTTCGGGGGTGATTTCGACCCCTTATCCCCTGAATTTCGGCGAATCTCGCGGATATGTTATTCGAAACCTTATTTTCGATCTTTGGACTGAGTTTGGTGGTGTCACAAAATTTTTCAAGAAAGTTATGAATTTTTTACGTATTTCGGGGGTGATTTCGACCCCTTATCCCCTGAATTTCGGGGTGGTGCTTAGATATGTTATTCGAAATAGTAATTTTGATATTTGGGGTTGACTTAATGGATCATCAAGCTGTTTCAATGCAAATTGGAGTTTTTCACATAATGAAAGGGTGATTTTTATTTAATAATAATGAATTTTACTTTTAAGTTTTAGAGGGGTTATCTATTTTACTCTCTTTAATGCTAATTTTGATGTTTTTTTGGTTGTTATCACTAATAAATACGAAATTATAGATAGAGTACACTATTTGTTTGGTCCGCTGTAAAAATCTAAATTTCGTTTCTGAATCCGTTGCTAACTTCAGCGACATAAAGTTGAAGTAATGGCCGAGCATTTCTTACCATATACGGTATTACACTACGTTTAAATTCAAACTGCGAATATTTCGGGGTTAAATGCATAATTAACAAAAATAATAAAATCTTTATAATATAGCAGCTACGGCTATTTAAAAATTTGTTAAAATGCTCAAACGGTGGTGTTTGTTTATTGAGAACCGCTGATACCATGTTTTTATTGCTGCCAATCCAGTTGATTTGGTTACTTAGCAACGGACAAGTATTTTAATTATGTATTCTTTACTGAATATCAGCGGTTCTCAAAAATGGACGTTAAATTATAAAATTAACATGCGATATCTATGTGTAACTATGTATTAAGTTTTTAACAAAACATTATTAAGAAAATCTTTTCAGTTTTAACTCTAATACCTACCATTTTAGTCTGCTCCGTATGTTATAAATCACCCTGTATGTCGAATATGTGCTTTAAAAATTATAATAGTTATTTATATTACAAGTGGGCTAGAAACATAATTACTGCACGAGTGTGGAGAATTGCACGACGAGGTCGTAGACCGAGTCGTGTAATCACACGAGTACTTAATTATGCTCTAGCCCACGTGTGATATACAACATTTTATCTATGACTGCTAAAAATTACTTAAAAATCAATTTCTTTAAAAAAGTCTATTTTGAGATTTATAAAAATATTTTGAAATGATCCTTGACAATTTTGAATTAATGTCAGTTTCAATAACATGTTTACTCATTTAGAATAAGTGTTTCGAAATGTAAAAACATAACAATTAATGTTTATAATAAATAGTATTGTTTCTCTGTAAATAGGTAGCACATTTTCTTTTGTATTGATGCTTGTTTCAATAAATTATGTCTGTTCTGATTGGACTAAAAATGCGTTACGTAATGAAACCAGCGCGGTAATTAACTTCATTACGTAACTCAAATCACCTCAAATGAGTGTGGTAATGATGACTTATCCAAGCAGTCGTAGATAAAATAATCTAAATAACCCTCTAGTTCCAAATAGCCCCATTTTACGGTAAAAAAAATAAACAATTCCTTTACCTGTCATTGCATTCCTTCACTGTACTCGGCAAGTCTTCGAAAAGATCGGTTTTCGAATCAGTACTGAAAGAGATTATAAGATATTCGTTAATATTTATATTGACAAATTTTTGCATTTTTTATAAACCTTTGCTGACTACATAAGTGTCTCAATTTCTGTCCTTTTGCATTTCGATTTCTTTTAAGAGGCCGCCTTGGACGCTTGTTGACAGGAGAGGACATGGCTGTTTTAAGAAAAATATAATTATACTTGCAGTTTTTTACATACCATTTCACTGTTCAGCACATCCGCCAACAAATTGTGAATTTCAACAATTTCAACAAATTTTATATTCATAAGAAAAATGTGCGTGCAGTGTATCCCCAACTTACAAATCGAAATTGGAATTGTTCACCAAGTCGGGGGTTCTCTGTACGCTTTTAAGTGTAGGTACTTACTAATAATAAAAATATAAGATTCACTAATACTAACACAATAAAACAAACTTGCACAAAAAGTGTCTAAAGTATACAGGATCATCCACAACGACCGTCCATTAGAACTATACACGGTTATGACCAAAATAAAAATTTGAAAATTTAGATTTAAGTATTATCAATTGCGTTCTCTTCGACTAAAATATTTTCAGATTTCTAGCATTTCCGGTTATACCGGAAGTCGCCACCTACTTTATTTTTTTAAATGGAACAGCCTGTATATTTTTACATATTTGGATTTGTCTGTTTTCAAGGTTTATGAATAACTTTACGTTTTGCAATTTTATTCTGCCGCTTCGCTTATTCGAATTTTTCTAGAGAAATCTGCTCTAGCAGACATTTGTTCAAAAAAGCAGATATCACTCAATTTTTGGAATATTAATTTAGGATTCAGAACATGCTTAAGCAACATGATGGAATATGTTTTGCTGCCGAGTACGGCTGTCTAGAACGTTTGGTCACTACACTATGGCACGTTAACTTTTCGAAACTTGGAAGTACCATAACTTCATTTTTTTAAATGGCACCCCCCATATTTTATTACTTAGTCGTCTTCGGTGTCTCATTTTACATCTTTTATATCTATATGTTCTATACCTAACATTTATAGTTTGGGAGATAATTAGGGTTCTTTGAAAAATGCACACATATCATAATATTTACCCTAGTGTGCCATAAATACCTAAGTAGTGTCACTTAATGGATAAATAATTGCCATGAATTAAGTGCTTAGTGTGACCTAGTGAATAACCAAACGAAGTGGGGGTTTAAAAATTTGTAGACTTGTGATGTTTGATGCCAGCTTTTTAACTAAAATATTTTCAGGTTCCAAGTACTTGTGGTTACACCGGAAGAGGTGACAATTTTCATATTTCAAATGGAATACCCTGTATTTTATTACATTTTTGAAATTTTTTTTCAATTTTAGGCCACATGTATATCTAGCACACTATACCTAAATGTCAACTATAACGTTACTTTCTATAGTTTATAACTCATCTATTCTGACCGGCGGAAAAAAAAATTTGTAGTTATCATACCAACAGAAATAAACCATAGCTTTAGCAAATGTCAAATAAACAATTTTTTCCTTATTGATCCTCCGATGATACATAAACACCACAACATTCCCAACACAACATTTTTTTCCGGCTGTCAGAATAGATGATTTATAAATTATAGCAAGTAACGTTGTAGTTGACATTTTTGATTACAAAAAAGTAAAATCTCAAAAATGGCTCCACTTAGGTATATTGTATGTAACATACAAGTGGCCTAAAATTGAACAAAAATTTCAAAAATGTAATAATATACAGGGTGTTTCATTTGAAATATGAAAA